TGGGTGGCATGCCAGGGATAGTGCTTCCTTCAAAGGAAGCTTTTAGTTTGGTGACTTACATATAATTCAGAGGTGTGGTAACAGATTCTTGGGGAGTAGTCAGTCTGAAAAGATTCTGGAGAATATTTTGGTGGAAGTTATGTCAAAACCGTCTTGCGGTGGACTGGTTTTCTTGATGGTTTTATGTAACTTTCTGTCACAGCTAGAACATGGGGGAATAGCCTGAGCCAAGGTGGGGAGGTCCAGGAAAACTGCAGAGAGGGCTAGTCAGAGAGAAGCCTAAGGGCCTGGGTGGGCCAACCAAAGCCACAGCGTGCCTCTGCAAGCGACCCAGGGCCCACCCCAAAATGAGAGGAAAGAAGTGTGATTTATCTGTAATTTAGGAGAGCATTCAAGGTGAACATCATAAACAGAGGTGCCTGTCTTTCTCTGGGCCTATGTATGTGTCCCCAAGAGGGGCCATGCAATTGCTTTTGTATTTCTGTTTATATAAGGGGTTGCTAAGTACATTAATCCCCTAAGGGATTAAGTACCGTCCCCCCTCCCCTCCAGGAGACATTTATCAATCTGGCAATGTTGGGGGAGCTGTTGGCATTTAGTGGGTAGAGGCCAGAGACACTGCTCAGCATCCTGCAGTGCACAGGCCAGCCCCGTAGCACAGTCATCTGGGCCTGAGTGATTATTCAGGGGTGCTGGGGTTGAGAAGCCTTGTCTAGGCAAGCGTCGGGGGGGGGTTATATAACCTGGACGAATAGCTTTCACCATCCTTCAGTACCTCAGAAGTACTCCTATATTCCAGAATATTTGACTCAAAAGTTTGCTTAAAAGAAGATGTCAGGTGTCAGGTTGTTACTTTATAAAGAAGAAGATGGCTGCCCTGGGTCCTGGCCACTGCACCTTTTGTGGACAGAAACACAGTCAGCCCAGCAAAGGTTATAATGATGAGAAGCCCCCACAAGTGGTCCCACCCACAGCAGAGTGGGCTTGGAGAGCGTGAAGTTAGATGTGGGATGCATCCTCTATAGTGCAAATGCTGGGTGTTTCAGAAAGGCTGCTACAGGCTAGGTGGATCCCGCTGGGGAACAGTCCTCCATCCTTGGACCAAAGCGAGATGTGGCTCCCTGGGCCCAGGCTTCCCATCCCGCCTCCACCCTCCCTCACTGTGCTCACCCAGTTCTGTCCTTTTGCTGACATTGCCTTGGCCCAGGCCAGGTTCAGCCTAGTCTGGGAAGTGACCTATCCTGATCTTACTGTATGTTCTTTAGAAGAAGACCTAAACTTTATTTTTTAATCTCATGCACAATGCAAGATTATACAAAATGCAAATGTTAGAGAAATGTCAATATTATGTAGAAACTAAAAGTATCCTCACATTCCCCGCTTCAGCTCTTTGCAAGATATTTCCCCAGTGTTTGTCCACACATGTCCCGACAGGTTGTTCTCCTGCTGAAGCTTTAGCACATTCACACGACACGCACTGTTGCATGGACGCCCCTCTGTGCCGGCACATTTAGACTGACCAGTGTGAGAACAGTTTCCTTTTGCCCTTGGAGGACCATCTGCTTTCTCCTTTTTCTCTGTCCTTGATGGCCCCCCTATTGTCCCCATGACCTGCTTTCTGCTGAGAGGCCTTGAGCTCTCTGAGGATGCCAGCTGATATTTCCTGTGCTCCTGGGATGAACTGCTTCTCTTTTCTTGAATTCTTGGTCTGGTTCTTTGCCTCCTAAGTGGATATAAGAGCTTTGAAGACCAGGGCATCATGCATGATCTGTGCACAGGTGAGAGGAGCTGGAGATGGAGTGAGTGCCACCACTATGGAGACGCTTTGCTCTGTGAGGTACAGCAGCACTGGGGTCCTCAGTTGACACAGGGGGACGAGGCCCTGAGGGAACTGCAGAACCACATCTCTAGCCCAATGTTTTTTGACAAGAATGGGAGCCACAGTTGATTGAACACATTTGTGCTTGTAATTTCCTCACCCCCATCTCACTTTAACTTTCTAAAGCCCTATCAGGTTGATGCTACCACCTCCTTTACAGTTAGGCCTCCAGGCTCAGCTGTTCACCCACAGTAAGACAGGTGATCGGGTGAAGGCCACAGTAAGACAGGTGATCAGGCGAAGGCTACTGTCACACCAAGCCACTCACCAAGACCTGGGTGCTGAGTTTCCACCAGGCTACATTACTCCAGATTTCCTGAACCAGCAAGAGTAGCCTCTGTCCTGGGCTATACCCAGGACAGTTGACCTTTGAACAACTTGGGGGCTAGGGATACTCACCCCTGGGCAGTCAAAAATTCTTGTAACTTTTGACTCCCCCAAAACTACTTTATAGCCCACTGTTGACCAGAAGCCTTACTGGTAGCATAAACAGCCAATAAACACATATTTTGTATGTTATATATATTATATACTGTATTCTTACAGCAAATTAGACTGGAGAAAAGAAAATAGTATTACGAAAATCATAAGGAAGAGAAAAATATATTTACTATTCATTAAGTGGAACATCATAAAGATCTTCATCTCATCATTCTCACATTGAGTAGGCTAAACAGAATGAGGAAGAAGAAAGGTTAGTCTTGCTGTCCAGGAATGGCAGAGGTGGGGGAGTTACAAGGCAGAGAAGCAGGCACACTTGGTGTGACTTATTTTGAAAAAAACCCATGTGTCAGTGGACTCTTGCAGATCAAAGCTCTATTGTTCAAGCGTCCACTGTATTCTTATTCTTGACATTCCGCGATAAAGTGAGCAAGTGAGATTGATTTTCACTCCTCCACATTATCCCTCTTTAGAGAAAATAGTTTCATTCATTAATATTTATGCTATGTGGAACAGTAAGACACGTGTAAACGAATATGTCTTGCTGACATTTTTTTTTTCTTCTCACCCAAGGAACAGATACAGCTTTCTGTAGGCTGAATATAGTAAAGGGTACCTTGATTGATCCTAGGATGCCCTGCGTCTTGTTCTGCCTCTTGCCTCATCCCATGCATTTGTAGTTCGGCATCAGACCCAAGTCACTTCTGTCCTCTGCCCACGTGCTCTGAGCCACCACCTGCTCTGCAGCCTCTGTGAGGCCTCCATCCTCCACCCTTCTCCCTTCTCCTCCAGACCCCTGCCTCCCTGGAACCTGCCTCTAGGTGTTTTTCCTCTACCCCACAGTCCTCTCCCAGGGAACCTTCTGAACTGCTTGCCCTGACCGTGAGGGCCCTGTCACCTCCCTGTCCCTCCTCTGACAGCCAGTAGGTCATATTTTGCTTAGTATCCATCCCCACTCCCACCCCCTATAGTACCTGGTACCCAAGTGTCCAAGAAATGTTTTCAGACACTGAATCCTACGGAGTGGCAGTGCAGTGTCTCATGAGTCATAGCAGGCAGACTCGTGGGCTATCACATTGGTGACAGCTTGCAGGACACTTGTAAACCACAAGACCTCATGCTGGCAGTCTCTGGCACAGCATGGCCTACAGGGTGTGGCTAGTGTGGTGCATGGGGCATTTTTATTTTTTAAATTTTTATATTAATTTTTAGAGATAAGGTCTTGCTGTGTCGCCCAGGACTTCTTCCTCTACAACTCCCTTTCCAACAAGTGTGCCTCCACTGGGGCTGGCCTCACTTCATGAGGGATTGCAAGGCCCTGCTGCCAGCCTTTCCAGGTTTTTACAGTAGTCAGAAACCTAGTTTAGATACTACCTCTCCAGATTCCTCTTCTTTTTTTTTGTCACCCAGGCTGGAATGCAGTGGCATGATCACAGCTCACTGCAACCTCAAACTCCTGGGTACAGGTGATCCTTCTGCCTCAGCCTCCTGAGTACTTGGGACTACGGGCATACACGATCATGCCTAGCTAATTTTTTGAGTTTTCTTTTATTTTTATTTTTTGTAGTGATGAGGTCTTGTGATATTTCCAAGTTTGATCTCAACCTCTTGGGCTCAAGTGATCCTCCTGCCTCAGCCTCCCAAAGTGCTGGAATTTCAGGCATGAGCCACCATGCCCAACCTATCCCCAGGTTCTTGTAACTTGACTTCTGTAGGCTATAACTTTAAACTTGAAAATTACTGTAAATGTTACAGCAATTTTTTTATTTGGCTGTTACAAAGATATAGTATTTTAGCTATATTGTAAGTTTTATAGCCAACGTAGGAAGCTAGCCACAAATTATAACATTCTTCTTTGTAACAATATATCATGTATCCCTAACAGTAGTTCCAGAATAAGCTTTTGGAATACAGCCTGTTCACATCTGGTCTTGCTGCCTTAGTTCTCTATGTTCTCCTGGGCGAGTTCTTTCAGGCCTGTGACTTCAGTTACTACCCATCATTCCCACAGCTGGATTCCCAGCTCAGAACTTTCTTTTGATGTGCAGTCTTATAATTACATCTGCCCACCGAACACGCCCCTGGCGGCTTGGGTGGAATCTGCACCTTCCTGGGTTTCCCTGGCAGAGAATGTTCAGTGCTATGATCCGCCAGGTCCCTGCACGTCTCTTCTTTCTCCTGCATCTGACTGGCCCCACCTCAGTCTTTCCAGACCACCTCCCACCCAGTCCAACCATGGTTGGGCGCTGACTCTCATATCACGCTTTGTGGTTCTGGTTGTTCCGTGTCTTGTTATCTGTCTTTTTCCCACCTGGATTTCTGAGCCAGACACTGTCCTAAGGACAGAGACCATGTCTTGAACATGTTTCCCCACATTTACCATGGTAGCTGGCCCGGAAAAGTCAGGATTTGCTGCTTGAATGACTGGGTGAACCATATAAGAACTCACAGCCTCTATTTGATAACTCTACCGGATAAAACACTCTGCTGTCTGATGATACTGAGCTGCCTCTAGTTACTCAGCTCTGAGGCCAAAAATGACATATAACCTTACTTTCGATGTTTGTATTTCTAATGAGAATATTAAAGCAGAATATTCTCAGTACTTGGAGTTAGACTTCTTTTACCCGTGTGGATTCTGCTTAATTTATTGACATAGGATACGATGTTTTTACAGATGCCTGCTCTGTGCCTGTATCTGAGATCATCACTGTTGAAGAAACAGATGTTCATGGCAAACACTACACCAGTGGAAAATGGCAGAAAATGGAAAAGCCTTACGCATTTACAGGTGATGGAGCCTAAATGTCCTCTCCCACAATTCTTAATTTATTCCATGAAACTTCCATGATGAGAGGGAACTTTTTGTCATTTGTTTAACAAGCTCGATGGATTGTTTTACCTTTGGAATCTTCCTAATATTTTCCAAGATCTACTTTTAGTGAATATTTTGGTTGATGATAATCTTTTTCCTTGTTTTCTTTATTTTTTTTACTATGACCTAAATGGTCTGGGAAATAGGATTTTTTTTCCTAACATATCTTGAAAGTTACAAGTTAGAAGAGAAGAGAACCCCTGGGAAATGTTTAGTTACAAGCCTATCATTGCTTGGCATACGTGCTCGGAGCCTATTCTGTTGAGGTTTTGTCAACTGGGCTGTGAGCCTTGCACTAATGAGCCTGTTTGTTTCCGTGCAGTTCACTGTGTGAAGAGAGCGCGACGTCACCGCTGGAAGTGGGCACAGGTGACTTTCTGGTGCCTGGAGGAGCAGCTATGTCATTTGTGGCTGCAGACCCTCCGGGAGATGCTCGAGAAGCTAAGTACGTGTATGTTGACACTTAAAGACAGAAGGAGAGCCGTGGTGGCTCGTGCATGAGTGATTTGACTTTCCTGACGTCTCTCCTCTCTTCATACAGTTCATCATACCCAAAGTAGACAAGATGAATCAGGCTGACTTGTTTAAAAATTTGCTAATTAGAGGGTCAGTGGAGCGGAGTGCAAATGGGCTCCACAGCCCTGACCCTGGCAGGGCATCTCAGCCCCCCACTTACTAGCTGGATGACCAGAGGCAGGATGCCTCTGAGCCTCGGTTTCAGTTTCTAGAAGAGGGAATGGTAATAATGACTATGTTCAAGGTGAATGTGAGGATTAAACTGGGTTCATGGAGGAATGCACCTCTTATCTGTGGGATATGCCTACATCTAAAATGTAGTAGGAGCCTACTGGGTTAGTTCTTGCATGCTAAGTAATAGGAGTTTGTCACTCTTAAAAAGTGTTAGGGGCTTATTCATTTTGTGATTGTAACACTACTTTATATTGTTTGGTGATTGTCTTAATACACAGTCTTGACAACTCAGTGTAGGCTTCAACTGTACAATAGAAACAACATGAGTTTAGGTTGGTTTTTACATGTTTTTTAGTTAATTTGGCAACTGCATCAAAAAAGTTAATTTTTAAAAAAATTTTTTGAGTTGGAGTCTCACTCCGTTGACCAGGCAGGAGTGTACAGCCACCACAGCCTCAACCTGCTGGGCTCAGGCAATATTTCTGCCTCGGCCTTCTAAGTCCCTGGAACCACAGGCACATGCCTCCATGGCTGACTAATTTTTTGATTTATTATAGAGATGAGTGCCAAGTTCCCCAGGCTGGTCTCAAACCCCCAGGCTCAGGCAATCCTTTCACCTCAGCCTCCCAAATTGCTGGGTTTGCAGGTGTGAGCCACTGCACCGGCTTAAAAAAGTGAATTTTAATTTATTTAAAGAAGGTATATCTCATGTATCTGAGAAGCATTCTTGCTTGAAAAGCACATCTTTTGATTATTACTGGGGTGGAAAGACGTGCATTTCTACATTTCTCTGATTTATCCTGTGGAACCTGGCCTTCACTACCTGCTGCCATGACAAGTTCATCCTGGCATTCCTCACATCTCAAACCTCTGCAGACTGTACTCCTGAATGTGTCTTTCTGCACTTGTCTGTTCAGAAAATCACCTCAGTTTCTCCAGCCTTCTCTCCCCCATATGTTTCTAGACTCTCCCTCCTTGTCCCTGTCCTTTTTTTGGTGAGACTTGAGTTATTTGATTTCAGGTTTGATTCTGTAGGTATAGACTCCAAGAGGAAATCCTCTGAACTCTGCCTCCCACTGATAATGTAGGTTTATGTTTTCTATATAATTCACAGAAGACCTTATCTAGTTGGACATTTGATATAGTCTACTTGTATCTAAAAATAGTACATGATTCTACATTTGATGTAGTCTATTTGTACCTAAAAATAGTATATGATTCTATTTTAACTTCTGATTCTGTCATCTATTTTAATATTTTATCGAGTATAACACAGACACGGGGCAGTGCTCATATTCTGAGTGTGTAGCTTGGTGAATCTTCACACTGAACACACTTGTGTAACCAGCACCCAGGTCAAGAAACAGGATTATTGTCTGCTGCCAGGGACTCCCCTATGCCCCAATGGTCATTACTCCCCAAAGGGTAACTACTACCCTAACTTCTCAACAACTAGGTCCACTTTTGTACTTCATATAAGTCAAATTACACAATGTATACCCTTGTGTGTCTGGCTTCTTGACTCAACATGATGCTTGTAAAGGTTTTCCATGCTGTTGCGTGTGATTGTGATTTGTTCATTCTCTAGGTTATGTGGTATTCCATGGTGTGAGTGTATGACCATTTATTCATCATTTTACTATTGATGGCCATTTAGATAGTTTCTTGATGTGGGCTATTATGAATAAGACTGTTGTAAACATTCTAGAGCATGTCTTTTGAATGTTTGCATTTCTCTTGGGTGCATACCTAGGAATGGAATTCCATCCCATAACAGCAAATGGAATTACTGGGTTGTAGAGTATGCCTGTGTCCACTTTAGAAGATGCTGCCAGACAGCTTTCCAAAGTGGTAGGACCAGTCAGCACTCCCATTGTCAGAGTGTCGGAGTTCTGGTTCCACATCTTTACCACACCTTTAAATTTTAGCTGTGGTGGCGTTAGTAGTCTTGCATTATGGTTTTAATTTTTATATCCCTGCTTGCTAATGAAGTTGAGAAATACATTCATATGTTTATGGGCCGTTCTGATATCCTCTTTTGTGAGATGTCTATTCAAGTCTTTTGTCTATTTAGCTGTTTGGTTGTCTTTTTCTTAATGATATGTATACATTTTTACATATTGTGGATCTGAATCTTAAATTGAATTTATGAATTACAGGTATTTTCTCCCATTCTGTATCTTGCCTTTTCACTCTCTTATTGGTGTCTTTTGGTGAGCAGACATTCTTAATTTTAATATAGTTGTATTTATCCTTTTTGTTGTTATTTTTCTGATTTTTACATAAAAAATTTTACATGAAGTTTTGTGTCCCATTTAAGGCATCTTTGTCTATTCTGAAGTCATGTTTTCTTCTCAGAATTTTATTGTTTTTCAGTTTTTTTTTTAGTTTTTAGTTTTTTTCCTAGAAACAGGGTCTCACTCTGTTGTCCAGGCTGTAGTACAGTGGTGTGATCATAGCTCACTGTAACCTCAAACTCCTGGCCTTAAGCAGTTCTCTCCCTCAGCCTCCTGAGTAACTAGGACTAAAGGTGTGCATCACCACACTTGGCTAATTTTTTTATTTTTATTTTTTGTATAGACAGAGACTCACTATGTTGCCCAGGTTGGTCTTGAACTCCTGGCATCAAGCGATTCCCCCCACCTTGGCCTCACAAAGTGGCAGGATTATAGGCATGAACTACTGCACTCAATCACCATTTACATTTAGATCTACGATCCGTTTGTAATTAATCTTTGTATATGGTGTGAGGTAAGCAGTCAAGGTTTATTTTCTTTAAATATAAATATCCATTTGATCGTGTGCCATTTATGGGAAAGACTCCTTTTCCCTACTGCACTGCAGTGCTATTGTCTTGGTTTTTTATTGCTTGTATATGGAAATTTAATAGAGTTGTGTATTTCACTTAGTATCCAATGACCTTGCAAAATTTACTTATTAACACTAACAGTTTGATGATTCTTTTGGATTTTCATCAAACATAATCATGTCAACTCTGCATAATGACAGTTCTGTTTCTTTCATTTTGATTCTTCTTGCTTTCATTTCTTTTTCTTACCCTGTTTTAGACCACCAGCACGTGGTGACAGCAGCATCCTTATCTTAGTCTGGATCTCAGGACATTGTTAATGTTTCATTAACAATGATGCCTGGGGCAACATAGCAAGACCTCACCTCTATAAAAAAATAAGAAAAAAATTGGCTGGGTGTGGTGGTGTACACCTGTAGTCCCAGCTACTCAGAAGGCTGAGGTGGGAGTGTTGCTTAAGCCCAGAAATTTGAGACTGTGGTGAGCCATGTTCATGCCAGCCTGGGTGACAGAGTGAGACCCTGACTCAAAAAAAAAAAAAAAGTTTCTTATATTTTTAATACAGTAAGAAAATCAGATTAATCTAGTCTAATTCTAATTTTCTGAGTTTTTTAAATCATGAATGAGTATTGAATTTGATAAATGCTTTTTGTGTGTCTATTGAAGTGATTGTATGATTTTCTTCTTTTTTGAGTTAATGTGTTGAATTACATGAATTTCTCATTGTTAAAACCCTTTGCATTTCTAGAGTAAATAAAATTCTGTTGGTTGTGAGGTAGTACTCTTTTCATATATCACTAGATTTGACTTACTGGGTTTTTATTTGGGATTTTTTGAACATAGGGTCAGGGAAGGATTAAGTCTGAGTCCTTTCTGAGAACATCCTGTCTGGTTTTGCTCCCAAGATCACAGTGGCCATATACAAAGAGTTCAGACATGTTTCTTCTTTTTCCATTCTCTGGAAGAGTTCATATAATCTTGACGCTATTTTTTCCTTAAATATTTGGAAGAATTCAATTATGAAATTTTCTGGACCTGGGGTTTTCTTTGTGAAAAGTTTTTAATTAATAACCTCAGTTTCTTTGTTTCAGACTATACAGATTTTCTTTTCTGACATTTTTGGTAAATTTTATTTTTTGAGAAATTTAGCTATTTCACCCACATTTACAAATTTACTAGCATAAATTTATTAATAAATTATTTCATTTTCTTTCTACTATTTGCAGGTTCTGGAGTGATGTCCTCTTTCTCATTCCTGATATGGGAGATTCACGTTTTCTCCCTTTTTCTTTATCAGTGTTTTTAGGGATTTATCAATTTTATGATTTTTTTTAAAAAGTGACTTTGGCTTTGTTGATTTTTCTCTACTGTATTATTTCCCCCAATACTTTGTTAGAAACATTTCTTAACACACAGAAAAATGGAAAGAATTTTACAGTAAACATTCATATACTCACCACCTAGATTACACAATTGTTGACATTTTGCTGTGTTTGCTTTGTCAGTGTCTATCCATTAGTCAATCCTGTTTTTTGCTGCATATCAAAGTAAGTAATAGACATCAGCACACTTTACCCTGAAACACTTTGGCTTGCAAATCATCAACTAGAGAGCAATATTTGTTTACATTTCATAGACAAAATTTGTTTTACCTCAGAAAATGGTAAAATTCCATGAAATGGACAAACCTTAAGTTTCATCAGTGAGTTTTGAAACATACACACCAGTGTGGTTCGTGTATCCCAAACCCATCAAGACTTACATCCTCCCCGGAAGTTTTCCTGTGATCTTTCTTGGAGACAACCATCAGGCTGGTTTTGTCTTGTTGTTTTGCCTGCTCCAGGACTTCACATAAATGGAATGGTGTGATATGAGCTCTTTTGTGAAGGCTTCAGTCCTTCACATGTTGTTTTTGAGATTTATTTATATTGGTGATGTATCGGTAGTTTGTCTCTTTTCATGACTGAAGAATGTTCTGTTGTATGAATAGACCACATCATGTTTATCCATTCATCAGTCGATGGCCATTTGGGTTGTGTTCACTTTTTTACTGTGTAATGCTGTGATGAACGTTTGTGTCTAGATTTTCGTGTGTGTGGGCTTATGCATTCAATTTTCTTGGGCATCCTTTTTGTTACTTTTATTGATTTATTAGTTAAATTTCTTTTAAGTAGTAGAGTCTATATGAACCAGAAATATGAACGTTGTTATAAGAAAATAAGGGCTGGGCGCAGTGGCTCCTGTAATCCTATCATTTTGGGAGGCAAGGCAGGAGAATCACTTGAGTCCAGGAGTTCGAGACCAGCCCAGGCAACAAAGTGAGACTTTGTCTCTACAAAAACTCCAAAAATTAGCCAGGTGTGGTGGTGCATACCTGTAGTCTCAGCTCCTGGGGTGGCTGAGGCAGAAGGATCACGTGAGCCCAGGAGGTCGAGGCTGTGGTGAGCTGTGATTGTACCACTGCACTCCAGCCTGGGCAACCAAATGAGACACCAACTCAAAAAAGAAAGAAAGAAAGAAAAGAAAATAGGGGAAACCCAAATGTAGAAGTTTGGCTGCATCTCTGCAATAATGAGAAGCAGGGCAGGCAAGCCATTTGTGTCTCTCCATCTTTCCGTCTCTTCATCTCTCTGTACATATCCATGTCAAGCTTCCTCTTTCTGTGCATGTCTGTCTGTCCTAATGCTCCTTTCTTACATCTGTTTCATTCTTCTTGAAGCAGAAGAATGAGGCTGCCTTCCAGAATTTGCTTCTTTTCACTCTCTGCAGAGGAAAGTCTGTCCTTCTCAGTCCGAATTCTGAGTTCTCAGAATTCATGACATCTAGCAGATGTACAAAGTACCTGCCCATTTTGATAGCCCGTCACTTTTTTCTTTTCATAGATGGCGAAACTCTTTTTCATTGTTCTTTAAGAATTAAAGCTACTTTAGATTAGGTAATATTAAGTAGAATTCTAAAACCATTGTGGTTTGATTTTGTCTAGTAACACAGTTCTTAATTTTGATTTTGTTATTTCTGTTGTTATTTACGTGTTGTTGTTGTCTTGCAGCATCTAGACCAAAGCATTTACTGGTATTTATCAATCCATTTGGAGGAAAAGGACAAGGCAAGCGGATATATGAAAGAAAAGTGGCCCCACTATTCACATTAGCCTCCATCACCACCGAAATTATTGGTAAGATACAAATTCTATGTTAAGTATGTAGAAGTAATTTGAGAATGATTCCAACATAAGGCCAGGCACAGTGGTTCATGCCTATAATTCCAGCACTTTAGGAGACCAAAGTGGGAGGATCACCTGAGGCTAGGAGTTAGAGACCAGCCTGGGCAACATAGTGAGACCTCATGTCCACAAAAAAATTTTAAAAATTAGTTGGGTGTGGTAGTGTATGCCTGTAGTCCCAACTTGGGAGGCTGAGCCCAGGAGATTGAGTCTGTGGTGAGCTGTGATTATACCACTGCACTCTAGCTTGGGTGACAGAGTAAGACTCCAACTCAAAAAAAAAGTCACAAGAGAAGATTTTTATCCTATAAGATTATTTTGAACAAAATAAAATTTTTTGACATATCAGAATAGGAAGAATACAAAATTAAAAATATAGTATTTTCCAGTCATATCTTAGCATTGAAAGACTCAAGAAAAACACTAGCAAGATAAAAGGACAAAGATCATGGACAGAAAATTCTTGAAAGAAGAGGTACAAGAGATTAATAAGTCTTAGAAATAATCTTACCAATAAATGACATTTAAAGTAACACAATACAATACCACAGTGCAGGTACCGAAATGCAAGGAGATAGGGAGAAATGGTGTTTTCTTCGTCCTTCAGGGTTTGAGGGTATGGAGAAACCATATTAAAAATAATCTTATAGGATAAAAATCTTCTCTTGTGACTTGTCAGTGCAGGTCAAAAGCCTGAAAAATGAGGGATTTTTTTGCACCCAATATTCTATGTTTTCTTTTCTTTTCTTTTTTTTTTAATTTTTGAGTTGGAGTCTCACTCTACTGCTCAGGCTGGAGTGCAGTGGCACACTCACAGCCACCCCAGCGTTGACCAGCTAGGCTCCAGTGATCCTTCTGCCTCAGCCCTCCAAGTAGCCGGAACCACAGGCATGCACTCCCACACTTGGCTAATTTTTTTTTCGTTTATTGTAGAGATGTTGCCCAGGCTGGTCTCGAACCCATGGGCTCAGGCAATCCTCTCACCTCGGCCTCCCAAAGTGCTGGGATTACAGGCTTGAGCCACCGCGCCCGGCCATATTCCATGCTTTCTGAACCTTTCCTAGAAACAGGTGTGCTCAGAAACTGATATACACAAATGTCCATTGCCACTCGTTTTGTAATAGCAAAGCATTGGAAACAATGTAAACGTACCCAAATAGGAAATATAAACATACAATTGTGGTGAATGTGAAGGAATATCATGTAGCACTTGAAAATGGTCTTTACAAATAATTTTTAATGATAAAAGAGTAATTGTGATATAATGGGGAAACAAGAATACAAAATGATGTATACAGTAGAATCTTAATAGAAGTTTACATTGGGTATGTTCACGACTAACATTATTTCCTTTCTGGTATAGTCTACAATTTTGAAAGTAACCTGTATAATAAGGAAAAATTATAAAATAGAATATGTCATCACTTTCAACGAAATTATTATTTGTTGGCAATTACATGCCAACAATGGGCTGGATGCAGTGGCTCACGCTTGCAATCCTAGCACTTTGGGAGTCCGAGGTGGCAGGATTGCCTGAGTCCGGGAATTGGAGACCAGCCTAGGCAACATAGTCAGACCCTCGCCTCTAGCAAAAAAAAAAAAAAAAATTAGCTGGGCATGGTAGTGTGAACCTATAGTCCCAGCCACTCGGGAGGCTGAAATAGAAGGATCACCTGAGCCTAGAAGGTTGAGGCTGCAGTGAGCTGTGGTCATGGCACTGCCCTCGGGCCTGGGTTACAGAATGAGACTCCCAACTCATTCTCATCCCAAGAATGTCACATATCACCCAATAGATCATATTCCAAGAGACGGCCACGCTCCATCTAGGTCAACCCGAACCCTTCCGATAAGGGCGATGTAGGTAAGGTCTACTTACTGGTATTTGTCAATTCATTTGGAGGAAAAGGACAAGGCAAGCGCGGTTATGTGAAAGAAAAGTGGCCCCGTTATTCACATTAGCCTCTATCACCACTGAAATCATTGGTAATATAAAAATTCTATGTTAAATATGCAGAAGTAAATTTGAGAATGATTCTAACATAAGGCCAGGCATGGTGGAAATCCCCTGGAAGGTTTTATAGGACCTCATTTTAAAAGAATGGTTTATTTGCCTTTTATTATAAATAAGGATTCACAGAAAGAAGTGAGTATAAACTGTATGATGTAATTTTTTCACAGTTACTGAACGTGCTAATCAAGCCAAGGAGGCTTTATATGAGATGAATATAGATAAATATGATGGGTGAGTAAGCTCGCTTTCATCTTGATAAATACATAGTAAATTCCGAGTGATTCTTGAATGTTTACTGAGTGCCCATCTCAGTGTGGCTTGCGTTACATTGCACATCCAAAGATGCCTGAGCCATAGCCCCTGTCCTTAAAGCCACAGCCCAGCTGGAGAAGGCAGCCCCAGCACAGTGTGCAGGTTATGGAAGACAGTGATCAAGAAGACTTCACAGGAACCCATGAGGCGGCTGTGGGCAGAGCTCCCTCCCATCTCTGGAGGCTGTCCTGCTCCTGCACAGCTGGGCCCACTGAATAACAGCCAAGCACGCTGTCTGCACTCAGATTTAAAGTCCTCCCATGCTACACCCCTAGTCAACTACCCCCCTCCCCATGGATGGCTCTTCCACATGTGATCCTCTCTTCCTGCCCCAGCCCTTCCCACCCTCCCTCAGCTAGGCTGAGCATCCTGCTTCCTTGGTGATGGAAGTTCTCAAGTTGCCATGGGTTCCCAGCATGTCCAGTGAATTTGAGACCTGTCCTCTGCCTTCCCTCTGTGATGCAGTGACACATCTGTCTCCCCATGTGCACACGCCTCTCGTTCTCCACCTTGGCATTGACTCCCTGGGGGTCTACCCCAGTGCTGTCTCTCTCCAGTTCCAGCTCCCTTCTTCACTTCTTTGCCTTACATCTTCTCATGAGCCCATTTTGTGCAGTATGTATTTGGCCCCCTCCGCTCCTGTTTTCTGGGTCCTCAAACCCACCCACACAGTTGGTGATTGCTACATGAGCTTGTAGTTATACCTTTGGTTAACATGCATTACCGTGACACAACAAGGCTGCCCAGCCAGATCAGTAAAGGAGAAAGATGCTCACGTGTAGACTTCCTGTACCCTTTCCCTCTTTATGGAGTCCCTCACAACACACCCTCTCTCCAGCAGCAAACACAGCCGCATAGGTCTGCTGTTTCCACCCTGCAAACTTGAGTCTCAGGACCCAGAGTTCAGGGTTTTTTATGGGGAATGGTCATGTAGATGTCCTCTGCCTAGTAGTTGCCCACATTCCAGACTTCCAGAAGGAAAGCCAGTGTTTGCCATAAACCACATTGTTTGTACAAGCTATTAACACAGAGGTACGACCTTATCACTCAGGGAGTATTTCAGAAGCTGAATTCCCAGACACCTGCCAAGGGCCAGGTGTGCAGGCTGCCCCTCCCGCAGCTAGAAGCCTCAGGCCTTCTGTGTTCAGAGGACTGCACCTGAAGGGTCCCTAACGAGCCTGTGTTTCTCCGTGCAGCATTGTGTGTGTTGGCGGAGACGGCATGTTCAGTGAGGTGCTGCATGGTCTGATTGGGAGGACGCAGAGGAGCGCTGGTGTTGACCAGAACCACCCCCGGGCCACTCTGGTCCCCTGCACCCTCAGGATTGGCATCATCCCTGCAGGTACAGGAGTTGGTGGTGGCTTTGTCTTTGCTCCTGTCCTTAGGAATAGTTCTGCATAAGTAGCCACTATGGGTATTTAATAATCTGACTATACTTGGTTTCGTTAGTGCAGGTTTCCTATCATTAGGGCTACCTTTGTGGGGAACTATCATTCTTGGCTTTTCTTTCAGGTTCATTTCTTTATTTAAATTGTGATTTTATCACCACACGACTACTGCATACTTTTTGAAACGTAGTTTTTGACCCATGAAATGGACACTTGAAAGGAAACTTGTCCTATTTTCTTGCAGGCTGCTTTACACAGGATATTAAGAACCCAGAAGCTGGGGACATGCAGTTTGGTGGTGGATGGACTTTGAAACTATAGTCCTGGAGTAAGGAAGCCCTCAGTGTCTGGGAGCTGGTGGGTGGGTAGGGATGTCAGGACAGTTGTCTGGAAGAAGTGTCTTCTGGCTGACCTGAAGGAACTGGAAGTTAGGTGGTAGGTAGGACAGAAAGAACACATGCAGGAGTCAGGAAGTGGGTGATGAGAGGAAACCGAGAGGGAAAGGTGGGGTGAGAACCCAGGGCAGAACCCAGGGCAGAGGGAAAGGTGGGGTCAGAAAGGTGGGGTGCTGACCCTGTGGAGCTGGGCTTTGTCCTGAAGATGCTGGCTTGGGTCAGTGTGTTTAGCGTCCTCCTAGAAAGCACCTAGCTCTTTGAACAATTGCAGTGTTAAATTCAGTCAAGGTGAGGACCTGTGTGTGGTGCATTCAAGACTTTGCAAACAATTTGACAGGGAAGTAGGTGCCTCTGTCCTCTCCCGCCTGTGCCTGGCTGGGTAGTGACCAGAGTGGCTGACTGTGTCCCAGCTCTGGGCAGATGCTCCACCCTGTGCCTCACAGATTCTCATTCTCATGGCAGCTCTGGGAAGTAAGTGCCGTGATTGTCCCATTTTGTGGATGAGGACAGGAGGCACTGGGGACAGGTTCACAAGGTCACCAGGTGGGAACGGGAGGTAGGAGCTCAGAGCCCACTCTGCCTCCAATTGAGGGAAAATTCAGCCCTTCTGAAGGACAAAGGCCCCAGCCACCTTCTGGACTGTTCTTTTTAACTGTAGTCTGTCTCTGACAGGTGACATTACTTAAAAAGTCACCCTTGAAACCTAACCCATGACACCTCAGTTAGTGACAGAGCTTGGAAATAATGGTGCAAGGTTAAGTTGCCCCATTGCATGGTGGCATTACGGGTGTTTTCAGTAGAAAGACTTACTTTAGGGGGATTTGTGTTAGCATAATAACTTGTGAATAACTAATCATTGTTAGCAAAAAGTTGAACAAGGTCATGGTTTTAACTACATATTAAAGGATGTTAATCTTTAGGACCTCTTTCCTTTAGCTTTCAGGGAAAGTGTTGAGGAAGCAGTTATTTATAGAGAAGGACTTAATCTCCCTTTGGGTTTTAAAGAACACTGCTGGTTTAATTAGCACACACACTTGAAAGGAGACCTATCTGAGGTTAGCCCGGCTGGAAGACACCAAAGGAAGAAATGATTCTTTTGCTGAGTCAGTAGCGAAAAAGCACTCAACACCCCTCATAATAACAAATCTCTTACAATTAAAGCAAAGGATTATAAGATGTTCTGTCATATCTTGGCAGAGCCTCCGACTGGATTTTCTCTCTTTCCTCTCAGTTCATGCCAGGGGGTTAGGAGTAAGAAATAGCAGAAGAGCAGTTCAGAGAAGGGAGGTCGGTCTGGGCCCTGGCTGATGTCTGTCTGCCCCACTGCCAGGGGACTCTGCTCTCACTAGCTTGTCCCTGGGGCATGCCCAACCCTGGCACCCTGCTTTTTAATGCTCACGTGTGGCTTCTTGCTCACTTGTGAACCTCAGAGGCTCCAAGCAATGATTTCCTTGTGGACATTCCTTGATGTGGGGTCTCTGGGCCCACTTAATTGTCCCATGAAGGCCACATTGATCTAGACCACCCACGGGGCTAAGGAGCGACCATTTTCTCATGCTCCACGCAGCCTGGAGGTTTGTCTGTGGTTTGACCTTTATCTAATCTGATAGGCAAAGTATGCTATCTTATTTACTATCTTTATTTGTATTTCTTTCATTATTCGGAGACCGAGATGCTTTTTATAGATCATTTTGTACTTTTGTAAACTTCCTTTCATGGGTTGTCCATTTTTTCTATGGGGGATAGGAGGGCATTGTCTCTTTCTAATTGAGTGTGGTGTTGTTTTTATCTTATTTACCCTTGTTTAGCTATAGGTTTTACAACTCTTTTTTCCAAGTTAGCGTTTTGTCTTATAACTTTGTATGTACTGTGTTCTGGGCTACGTGAATTTAACTGTTCTCTATTTTTACTCTATGGTTCTTACTTTTACAAGAAATCTGCCCTTTATCACCATATGCCAATGACAGCGCTAGTACCTAAAATCCTAAGCTATTGAAATCTGAAAAGAGTGCCTGAGCCCACGGGTTCAAGACCCACCTGGGCAACTTGGTGACACCTCATCTCTACAATAAATCAAAAAATTAGCCGGGCGTGGTAGCGTGCGCCTGTAGTTCCAGTTACTCAGAAGGCTGAGGCAGAGGGATCACCGGAGCCCAGCAGGTCGAGGCTGCGGTGGCCGGGAGCGGCCACTGCACTCCAGTCTGGGCGACAGAGTGAGACTCCAACTCAAAAAAAAAAAAAAAAATCTGAAAAGAGGCTAAGAGCTCAGGCAGGCCTATACCTCAGGAGTGCTCATGGAGACACAGGCCATGCTTGACCACACTCCCAGGGGGGGGGGGGGGGGGGGGAGGAAGCATAGCTGTGTGCCAGTACACCTTCTTGACTGTGGGTGTAGCCTCTGCTCCAGGGGAAGACAGCAGACATCTCACCAAATGCGAGCATAAAGACATCTCCCAGAGTTTGTGCACAGTGCAGAAAGTGCCCCTGGAAGGAAGGTTGAGGAGAGTGACTCCATGAGGCCTCTTTTCCTTGGGGCCCAGGAGGTCTTTCTGAGAGATGGCAGGTGAGAGGTTCCTGCCAGGGGAGCAGCTCTTACAGAGGGTGGCAGGTGAGAAGAGTTGTGAGTACATTGGATGAGGGAGCCAGTATGGCTGGGGATGGAGTTAGAGGGGACGGAGAAGGGCCCATGTGAAATGTCGAGTTCCAGTTGGCCTTGCAACATGGAGGTCTTAGAGGCATTTCAGCAGGGGTGACATCTGACTCTGCTTTAGGACCCCTCTTTGCATGTGGTCTTGAGAGCATGTGGGTCCCCAAGAGAATGCTGGTGGCTTGGACAGTGGGTGGGCTGCATGGAGTTTGAGTCTCGGGCTGTAGTGGACAGGGCTCTGATTGGGGTCTCTGAGATGCAGCACAGATTTGGAGGGAAGAGTAGGGGTGAGGGAGATACCCATGGTGACCCTGTAATGGTAGCCCTGGCAAGCTGGGGGACAGGACCAGGAGGACAAGAGGTGTAGTTGAGACTCTCGAGGTGCTAACCTCATGGGAGGCCCTGGATACGTGCATCCAGTGGTGGCAGTAGGTAGCTAGAGCCCAGGAAGGGTGGGGAATTTGAGTCCTAGGATCTAGAGAGTGTTGAACAGGCTCTGGTGGATGGTCTGCCTCCTGGACAGACGCAACCAGAGCTTCTGAAGGGCACTACTCCAACTGCTTTGAGACCTGATCTAACATTTTATAAACTCCAAGTGTTTTCCAATTACATGTTAATTTAGATGTATTAGCAAATCTATAGGAAAAATTTGTCATTCACACGGTCCTTTATCAAGTGTTATCCTTTCATTGCATCTACTGCTCTTAACATCAGCTAGCGTTTCATGCTATAAACTGAGGAACAGAGAGGCTAAGCCTGTGCTTAGAGAGACCTCTTGGGCTGGTCCTTCCTACGCAGGTAGGGGCATGTGATTGTTACTTGGCTGGCTGGACTTGCTGACTAGGCGGGTGCAGAATTCCCATAGTCAGTTGTGTGAGGAATGTTGAGGGCCAGTGTAGTTACTCCCACGCATATGGGTGGTTATTGTGAATACAAATCATGCTTTTGAGCGTGGTCCTCAAGCAAAGGCTGTGTAAGATTTGGCCTGGGGCGGCTATGGCTTGCCTTTCATCTGAGCCAGTGAAGTAGTGAGCCGAGAGAAGAGAGTCACAGCAGCGTCTCTTCACAGGCGAATGTCAGGCCCAAACAGGGATGTGAGCTGCCTGGCCTCATATTAAAATTGGAACTGATGGCTTTGTGTGACCTATGCTGCATCCAGCTGGTTCAAAAGTCTGAAAATTTCTGGGTTTTAAATAATGTTTCCTTTCTTTATGGTACAAAATTTGTTTCTCTGACAAAATTTGTTTCTCTGACATAGGTCCATAGTGATGGATGCTTTCACGTGTGCCTTTTGCCTGCTGTGTCGTGGTCTGTAGTGACTAAGCTTCCATGCTGGGTGGCATCCCAGACTGAGGGAGTCCATGTTTGGGTGCTGCTGAGAGGGAGAGAGAAAGACACATGTTCAGCCAAGTCAGCAGAGGGAGTGCAGTAGTGAGATGCTGCATGGGGACTCTGAGGACACCAGAGGACCATGTCACTTGGCCAGGGGTGTCATGTGGGCATCGGAAGGAGTTGATGCTCGACCCTGGTTCACAGATGCCCAGGAAAGGAGGTTAGGCAGGAGAGGGGAGGACAGTACCAGTTCCAGCATCTGGAAGGTTTGATGCCACGTGGTTACATGGTTCCCTTTAGCAGAAAGGAACATGGGCTCATGCTCGGGTGGCCATGAAGGTTCATGTGCAGAGGTAAGGAGTTCGAGCTGTCCCTCTAAGCTCTGGGGATGCACCAAGCCAGGAAAGTGATATGGCCAACTCTGTGTTTCTAAACCAGAAGTGTGGGAGGGTCACAGATGCCTTCCAAAGGCCAGTAGAATTGGATCCGAGACAGATGGAGAGAATAGATTGGAACTGAGGAGGGCTTCTCAAAGGAGACAGCTACAGATTGGGCCCTGGGACAGGAGTAGGGGGTGGTGGGTGGCCCCAGGCTTCTGGAAGTTGGGGACTTGGATGTGGTGCTTTTACTCAGGGTCCAAGGGAGCCTTGGACAGGTAAAATGCCCACTCTGTTCCTCAATTTTATCATCCACAAAAACCTGATGTTTCAGCAAAATAATCCCTGAAACCTATTAGAAAAATTCAGTTCACCTACCGTCTTCATTGCCCAGAAGGACCTAGATGACATGGTGTGAAGCTATGGCTGGTTCTAGGGCAGGCCCCCTTAGGTCCTCTGTTTTCTCTTTCAAGTTCATGCACCTTTATGTTCTGTGCCATCTTACCCTGATTTGTTCAATGGAAGGTGTTTGCTGTTGCTTTCTAGAATGTAAACTTGAACTCTCTAGACGCCTGGGTCACATTCATCCCCAGCCACCAGAACTGGCCCTCTCTACCTGCACTGTGGTCTTGGCCTGCACATCTGACCTTCCTCTGAGCAGCCACACTCCTCGTGAGCTGCCTCTCGAGCCGCACAGGTCGCAGGACACGATTGTCGAGACAGGTCATCAGTAGGAGCCAGTGTTTGGTGTGGCTGTAAAAAGATGTTGGGGCCGGGAGTTGCTTTCTCCCCCAAAGCAAAGCTATACATGAAGTTCCTTTATCAGATTTTCAGTTTCTCCACAGTATTTGTGTAATATAGAGTAGTTAGGTCCAAATGGCCCCAGAAATACTGAGTGGACTCTAGAGGTCTTGGGTTTACAGGACTTGGTACAAAATAAAAACCAAATACTCATTTTCCATTCCTGTTTACCGAATTTTTACCGAATTTCTACTGACTAAAAGATTATTGAATGCACAAGTAACAGCTGATTAAATGTAGGGAGGCTAGATGTTTGGTTTTGTTCTGAAGGATGATTTGTGAAGAGAACAAACAATGTGCCAGGTGGTGGAATGGCAGTCTCTGTGGACATTGTGGAAAGTTCTAGGGATGCAGAGGACTTGGGGCACAGATCTAGTTAATTAAATAGTTCTGAGTGTTTTCCCACAGAAGTATTGAGAGTGTGGGAGATAGTTTGAAACCACATAGTTTTTCTTAGATACATTTTAAGAATTAGTCATTCTGGTAATCTTAAATGTTCACTTAAAAAAAATTTTTTTTTTGGCTCATTTTTAAAATGAGACATCACTTAAGTCTTTTTTTCTCTCTCTCTCTCTTTTGAACCAAGGTCTCACTCTGTTGCCTAGACTGGAGTGCAGTAGCGCTCATGGCTCACCATAGCCTCAACCACCTGGGTTCAGGAAATCCTTCCACCTCAGCCTCCCAAGTAGCTGGGACTTTAGGTGCACACCACCACACTTGACTAATTTTCTTTTTTATTTTGTGAAGACAAGGTCTCACTATGTTGCCTAAGCTGGTCTCGAACTCCTGGGCTCAAGAGCTCTCCTGCCTCAGCCTCCCCAAGTGCTGAGATTACAGGCATGAGCCACCATACCCAGCCAAGTCTTTGAGCTAAGAGTGACAAAAAAGAAAAATACACATATTAAAAGTATGTGTATGCATTTGTATGTTACCAGCCCTCAGAAGCCATATGTCAGCTCAGAGTAACTAAGCACCGCCTACTGTGAATTCTGGTACTCTGAGAGATCACAAAGAGGGCTTGCAACCTAGCATGTGTGTTTAGAGCCGTGAACTTTCAGGCATTCCCAGAGGTCACTTATGATGATACACCTGCAGACTGTTTGGGGCCCAAGGGCAGAGCACCTGGGACCTGCCTGGGATTGGTAGCACTTGCAGCCATTCCCTAATGAATGGTTTTATGGATAGGTGGTATGCTGGATGCTGTCACATGGTTTATTCTAGGCTAGGGTGCTTTACCTTTTCAATATATCTGCTAAATAGTTAGATTGCGCAGCCCCATACCAGACCTACTAAGTCGGAATCTCGGCGTGTGGGGGATCTCAGGAATCACTGTTATACATAAACCCTTTTGGGGTTATTTGGGAGCATCTCTGCCTACTCAGGATTGAGAACAGCAACCTCAAAATGACCTGATTAAAACAAGACAGACCCAGGGGGGACCAGCAGCCTCACTGCTGTGCTGTGGTGACCCCCACACTGGTACAGCAGTTACTCCTCCCCTGGAACTTGTGATTACCCCATGTACAGATGAGGAAGCTGGGTCCAACCCTGGTCAGGTGTGTGCTCTCCATCATCAGTGGGCTTAGAGTAGGAGCAGCCAGATTCCCCCATGTGCTTTTGTTGGTGGCTGCCATACTCTGTGAATGAGGGGGTCAGCCTGCATGTCCTTGTTGAAAATCTGTTGTTGAAAATTGTGTCTTGGTGTGAAAGCTCCTTCAGCAGTGTCCTTTCTGCCACCTTCATAGTTGACCTTGCCTTGCATGCACCTCCCTGCCGATGGTGCTCTGTGCAGACTCCTTTTGCTCTTGTGGTCTGGGCCATGAGATGCTACTGTCCATCCTCGAAGGTGGGAAGCCACTGCCGCCTCAGCAGACATTTCTCAGGGGGCTCCTCTCCAGGACAGCCTTCAGGGGTGGCCTCTGATGCTAGCGGGGAGTGTCACAAGCCACTCTGTACATTGCTACTTGATATTTTTGCAAGATCAATCTTGATATTTTTGATGACTCAATATTTTCAGTATTCATTATGTAGGTAAATTCTATGTATTCCTTCTTGTTTACTCTAGAGCCATGAAAGAACAGGAATAGGAAGCCTTTTACAACTCTAAATTATTATGGTAGTCAAGACCTTCTTCTTCCCCTTTATAGGGTCTACAGACTGTGTGTGTTATTCAACAGTGGGTGCCAACGATGCAGAAACATCGGCTTTACACATCGTCGTTGGTGAGTCCCTTCCTCAGCACAGGGATAGCAACTGGACCTCTGTGCTGTCCCGTTGACACATGGCAGCCCCTGCTTCCTCGGCCCTTGACCTCACTGTCAGTGGGATGCCCAAGTTGACTACTTCTTCCTATCTCCATGGCAGCTCCGTCACCCACTTCCCATTTAGTCCTATCTTCCCATGCCAGTCAGAGGGGCCTTTTAAAAACATAAATTATCTGGGTACAATGGCTAACACTTGCAATCCCAGGACTTTGGAAGCCAAGGCAAGAGGATCCCTTGAGTCCAAGAGTTCATGACCAGTCTGAGCAACATAGCAAGGCCCCATCTCTACAAAAAACATGAAAAAAAAAATTAGCTGGGCATGGTGGTACATGCCTGTAGACCCAGCCCCTCAGGACACTGAGACAGAAGGATTACTTGAACCCAGGAATTTGAAACTGGAGTGAGCTATAATCACATCACTGCATTCCAGCCTAGGAGACAGAGGGAGACCCTGTCTCTACAAAAACAAAACAAAACATAAATCCATTACACCACACTCCTGCACAGAACCATAGGGTTGGTGCAGGTACCTTGTGACCAGCCAGGCCTCTTGTGCTCCAGGCTGTTCCTGCTCTGGTCTCCATCCCACAGGAAGTGCCATGCTCTGCCCAGAGCTCTGCAGGCTACTCTCTGATCTCACTCAGAACTCAGCTCTAAGGCCACCTTGTTGAGAAAGGCCGTCTCAGGCCCCGGTCCCCGTGGTCCGTGGTCCTGAGTTATTTTCTATCATTGCAATACTCTTATGTATTTCACGTTCACTCTCTCTTGATCCTTTGGATGTTCATTGTCCCTGAGAGCAGGACACTGCCTGTGTCCCTTGCCATGGCACCTGTGATGTAGGTGGCTTGCCTGGCTTAACTCCAGTTGACTTGCATCTCTTTGTAAACTACTTGCGAGGCTTCCGTGGACAGACACAAGTGCCTGCTCCAGGCCCTGAGTTGAGCTCATCAAGTCATCACCAGCATGACAGATACTTAGCGCCTTTTCCCTTCTTTGTTCCAGGTGACAGGATTACTGTGTCTTACCTAGTCACAGAAATGGTGTGTTTCACAATAGCCATGTATGGTTTTGTATTGTAAAATGCCATGTACCTTTTCTTCTTCCTCAAATCCACCTTCTTTTCAGTTAATGACCCTTCACAGCCTCATGGATGCATGCATTCTTCTTCTATGCCCACAGAACAGCTTCCCAAACCTGTTTTGGAAATTTGAGTCAACTTTTGTCCTTTGAATTAAAAATCTAAAGAGGAAGGATCATTACACTGAAAGCATTCTGTTGATTTTACTTTTTATCTATTTATTTTTTGTTTTTTGAATCAGAGTCTCACTCTGTTGCCCAGGCTGGAATGCAGTGGCATGCTCACGGCCACCGCAGTCTCAACCTACTGGGTTCAGGTGGTCCTTCTACCTCAACCTTCCAAGTAACTGGAACTACAGACTCATACCACCATACCCAGCTGATTTTTTTGATTTATTATAGAGACAAGGTCTCGCCATGTTGTCCAGGCTGGTCTTGAACCCCTGGGCTCGGGCAATAATCCTCTTGTCTCGGCCTCCCCAAGTGCTGGGATAACAGGCTTGAGCCACCACGCCCAACCTGATTTTGCATTTAATGGAGTAACTTCTTTGCTTGCAGAGAGCTGTGGAAGGGGACAGAGTAGTCGGGTTCAGGGTCAGAGGGAGAACGGCTTCCCTCATGGAGGCTTCTCTCCTGCAGGAGACTCGCTGTCCATGGATGTCTCCTCAGTCCACCACAACAGCACACTGCTCCGCTACTCGGTGTCTTTGCTGGGCTATGGCTTCTATGGAGACATCATCAAGGACAGTGAAAAGAAACGGTGGATGGGTCTTGTCAGATACGACTTTTCAGGTAACTTCAAATAACACGCAGTGAGAGGTGTATTACGGGGCCCACTGCTGATGGGGCCTCAGGGTGGGCTGCAGTGCCCTTTTTACCTGACCACAGAGCTAGAATGAACCAGAAATGGAAAAAGATTCCAGATGGTACAAAGATGATACCTGCACATTTCGGGGGTGGGGGGTTGGGGTGTAATATCATCCTGTTAGCATTTACATACAGAAAAAAACGAACTTTGAAAAGATGTTGAATTTAAGGTTTGGCATTTCTTGCCCAGTGGAATATTTTTGCTCTATTTAATGAATTTCATTTATCTGGCCCCTGCCCTTTACAGTTTGCTTTTAAGTAAATCTGTATTAAATTAAATGAATAATTCCAAATGCAAAAATCTTACCCTGTTCTTTTGAGAGAAAGAAATAGTCACTTGGTAAACTTTGCACAGTTTAATAAAGATCTCATTAAATTAAAAACTACAGTGTGGCCTGAAAATTAACATCTAAGAAATGCCAAAGTTCGATATTTATTAAAATCTTAAGAAAAGGAATATTGAGAAAATTAGAAAAGCCATGAGAATTCCATTAAGCAATCTCTGCCCCTTTCCTTCTTGCCCTTTGTTGAGCCAGATGTGGCTCCCCCAGCAAGCCCCTCTGGGAAGACCCCTCGACCCACCTGCCCACTGAGCATGGGATGGGGCAGCCCTCTGCACAGCACACCCCTTCCTCAGCCCCTTAGTAAGTCACCTTTAGTTAACAGCTGCCGCTCTGTCCCTTCCACCAGGACATGTGCCCTGAGCCAGGTATCTTCCTGGTCTTTCTATCTCTATGCTGGCCACAGTGCCTGAGATGCTCTCAGGAAGGAGATCTGGTGTAGCTGCTGTGAGGTGGATGGTGTCCAGTTGTTCTGGGCCAGAGCAGAGGGCTATGAAGGAGAATGAGGGTACAGAAGTGATACACTCTGTTTAAACACGTGGAGTTTTAGGTGCCAGCAGAACATTCAGAGGGGCCTTTCTCACAGCAGGCAGAAACAGGTACAGTGGAGGTTTTTGAGGACCACCTGGAGGTTGTATCTGGACAATGAGGCAGCTGCTCCTTCCAGCACCCTGTAGGAGTCTGACTGCTCACCCTGCACTTGAGCGAGGGTCTGGCTGGAAGACTGCCCACCAGCGCTGGGCCACACCACATGTGTAGTCATGCAGGACAAAGTAGTTGTGCAGGCAGTGCTAGCTGTGCCATCAGACATGGACGAGTGGTATCACCCTTAGACTCACAGCACACAGCCCGTTCCCTAGTGTGGCCTAGGGTGCCCCTCTCGTGCCTGCTGCCTACTTCCTGCTGTCCTGTTCAGCAACTTTCCCAAGACAGTTGGTCAGAGTCATACCAGGCAAACTCAGGGATGCTTTACCTCTGTCCTGGCCTTCAGGGCATGTGGGCAGCACCATGGACAGAACACCTGTTTGCCTGAAGGGCCAGCTACCTTCTCTGGGTGGCGGTGCTGCCCTGACTTTTGTCCTGAGCTCTACAGGATGCCGCAGTAGTAGGTGACCCTGCTGGGGACCAAGCTTTAGGGAGAGTGGGGACATCACCAACCATCTTGAAGGGGTGGAGGTGGTGAACTTGAGCCATTGGTGCTCACAGGCTACATCACTGAGGTCACGAGGGATCACACACTTTGTTGTGTTGAAGGTGGCCAGTCCCCCAGTGCAGCCAGATCCTGGGCTGCTCCTCTTAAGTCTGTTACTTGGATTTGGCCACTGCACCCATCACCACTGGGTGTTAGAAGGTATTGACACTGTGACCTGATATGCCATTGTCCAGTGGGAAGGGCAGATACTCTGTCACTGCTCTCTAGTGGTAGTAGTGACATCACCTGAGGTAGGTTTCATGCCTTCCCCTCCCACAGATGGGTTAGTCAGATGCACTGTCATGGTGTTTCTGAAGCAGATAATCACAGCCTCGTAACCAAAGCAATGACCCTTGTGGATGTTTTTTTGTTTTTTTCACCACACTCTGTTCCCAGGTTTAAAGACCTTTCTCTCCCACCACTACTATGAAGGAACAGTGTCTTTTCTCCCTGCACAACACACAGTGGGATCTCCAAGGGATGGGAAACCCTGCCGGGCAGGGTAAGTGTATTTCTGTGTGTGTTTCTATTGCAAATGATGTGAAATAAAACAGGATGGTTTGAGGCTTTGTTCCTAAAATGAGGGTGAATGCAGAAGTATTTTCCAAATGTAAAGGGAAGATGCTGGATTTAGTGAGTTCAGCAAGATGATATCAGAGTTTTATGTAGAGAGGAGAGCTGTCACACCATCTCTATCCCTGTGTTTTGCACAGGCAGCCATGTCCCTGGGCCCCAGACCTGAGGGGAGGGTCCCACATCAGCCTCTGTAGTGAGGGCTTACCTCCACATTGTCTGCTCCGGTGGGGGTTCCCTGCTCCCTTCGGGATCTGACAGATGTGAAATACAAGAAAGGATGCAAGAAAGGATGGCAAACACTTTGTCAATACTGCACGAGTGCTGGATGGAACATGTACTCTCAGGAGGAGTTGGAAGTGGAGCCTTCTGTCCCCACCCTGGCTGAGACCCTTGCCCATTTTAGCCCCAACTCCAAGATGAGAGTCACCCTGCAACTAGGACAGCCCAAGTCAAGCACTCCCTGAAGCCCACAGAAAGGCAGAGGCCATCAGCGAAAGGGCACTGGCTGGTCTCAAGTGCTGGGCCAGAGGGGGCACAGCTGAAAAAGCTGTGATCTTCCTCTTAAGTCTGTTACTTGGATTTGGCCACTGCCCTCTGCAATGAGATATACATACACACACGTATGAATCCACAAGCAGTCACTCCTTTTCATCCAGCGTATTCCCCACTCCCATTCTCACTCACAATGTATTTAGTAATATCTGACTAATTTAAAATAGAGCCTTAAATAAATCCTAAAATTAAGCTGGGCTTGGTGGCTCAGCCTGTAATCCCGCGCTTTGGGAGGCTGAGGTGAGTGGATTGCCTGAGCCCGCGGGTTCTAGACCCACCTGGGCAACTTGGCGAGACGTCATCT